GGGCTTTAGCCAGAGAGGCTCAGCGACACTTCAGCTAGTTCGGGATATAGCTGGCCGAGGAGGTGGAAGGATTAGAGGGGCAGGTGGTGGGGGACAGGTGGACCAAGAAGGAGGCTGAGCAGGGAGCTGAGCTCAAGGCGATGCTGCCGGGTCACAAGGGTGCAGATGGTTTCAACTACAACTGCAGTCATGGCAAGCAAGCTGCTGTGTTCATTTTTTAATTGGTTGCCAGGAAGCTTAGGATGGAATTTTGCTTATTTTTTTCCATTAATATAATCGTCTCCTGTGCAGCCCCGTGTCTGCAAAGGGCCAAAAGCTCTGTGGCCAAATGTACGGGCCCTGGAATCCCGGCTCTACCAACCATCAGCTGCATTTTTATACTTCCCTGTGCCTCAGTTTCCAAATCTGCAAAATGGGGAAACATAACACCTGCCTGGCTGGGTCTTTTCAGGTGATAAGGATAATGCTTGGTAAGTACCTGGCACAGTGTCTAAATGTAATTCTTGATCTTTTTTGAAGTCATCCAGGATGCTAATATTTAAGAGGGCAGCAATAGGTTATTCACCCTAGGATGGACGGTTTCCGCCGTAATTTGCTCAGTGGCTGTGGACCTGGAAGTTGCTTGGAGTGGGAGCTGGAAGGTAGGGAGAGAGCAGGGATACCAGATGCCTGGAGAGATGAGGAAACCATATAGTCCAAACAAATAACCCTGTCAAGAAATGGGCAGAAGACATGAACAGACATTTCTCCAAAGAAGCCCTACAAATGGCCAACCGACACATGAAAAAATACTCAATATCGCTCATCATCGGGGAAATACAAATCAAAACCACAATGAGAAACCGGTCAGAATGGCTAAAATTAACAACTCAGGAAATAATAGATGTTGGCAAGAATGTGGAGAAAAGGGAACCCTCTTACACTGCTGATGGGAATACAAGCCGGTGCAGCCACTCTGGAAAACAGCATGGGGGTTCCTCAGAAAGTTAAAAATAGAGCCACTCTACGACCCAGTAATTGCACTACTAGGCATTTACCCAAAGGATACAAACATAGTGATTCAAAGGGGCACATGCACCCCAATGTTTATAGCAGCAATGTCCACAATAGCCAGACTATGGAAAGAGCCCAGCTGTCCATCGGCAGATGAATAGACAAAGAAGATGTGGTGTATATATATGTACAATGGAATATTACTCAGCCATCAGAAAAAATGAAATCTTGCCATTTGCAACGACGTGGATGGAACTGGAGGGTATTATGCTGAGCAAAATAAGTCAATCAGAGAAAGACAAATACCATATGATTTCACTCATATGTGGAATTTAAGAAACAAAACAGATGAACATAGGGGAAGGGAAGGAAAAATAAAATAAGATGAAAACAGAGAGGGAGGCAAACCATAAAAGACTCTTAATTATGGGAAACAAACTGAGGGCTGCTGGAGGGGGGCGGTATGGGGATGTGGTAACAGGGTGATGGGCCTTAAGGAGGGCACATGATGTAATCAGCACTGGGTGTTATATGCAACTGATGAATCACTGGATTCTACCCCTGAAACTAATAATACACTATATATTAATGAAAATGAACTTAAATAAAAAAATTTAAAGAAAGAAACTGGAGATCTGAGAGGCTGGAAGGGCCGCCCATCTCTCCCTCCTTTTCTCTTATCACCCCTCCTCCCCACCCCACACCCTCTACCCATCCCCCCCCCCCAACCGCCATCTGCCCTGGAGGACAGATCTCCCAGGGCCCTTGGCTGCCTTGTTCCCAAATGGTGCTGCTCCTCTCCCTGGAATCTGACCCAGGCAGGACTGTCTCTGCTTCACCCTTTCCCGGCCTACCAGCTGCTCCCTCCTTACCCCGTCTCCCGAGGCACAAATTCTAATCCACCCTGGACGCGTCACACTGTAGCTTCTGGCCCATCAGTCTCCCTGGTGCAAGGCGGCCCCTCATTCTGCTCACCACCAGCTCAAGTCTCTTGTCAGACATAGTGGGGACACCTGGGTTCCCTGGGCGTGCCTGCTCATAGGCCCCTCTCAGCTTTCCAGCCTCCAACACCTCAGGTTCAGTTTTCCCTGCCTGGAAAATCAGTCTGGAAAGATAAGACCTTCCGTTGTAGAAGGAACCCGAGGGATGCTCTGGTCCTGCTATGTCACCAGGCGCCAGCTATGATCAATCGGGACCTGCCTACAGAATCTAAAGCTGTCCTCAAACTTTACAAGGACAGCCATGATCGGTTAGCAATGTCTGCCATGTGTGGGTGCAATTGATTAGGGGATGTCTGCCACCGGTGCCCCTTTATGAATGCCAGATATTGCCATCCATGATCTGGTTCAACTATTCAGTCAAAGGCACAGAAGAAAAAAAAATCATATATATATATATGATTTTTAATATAATTTATATCTACAAATTATACGTATAAATTATATATAATAAGTATTTAATTAAAATATATAATCTTTATATATTTTATATATAAATTATATACATAAAATATATATAATCATTTATTATTAAATAATAAATATATTTATATTAAAATTATATTTATTTCATTTCATTTATATTTATTATGTATTCTGTCTATATTATTAACTTATATTATATTGAATATACACATCAATTATATTTTTATGATATTTTATTTTTATTTTCCCATGAGACCATGTCGGATGGTGCCCAGACACAGAATAAGATAAACCTGATTCTTACTAGCAAAAAAGATATTCCTTTTACAATCTTTTTGCTTTCTCACCGTTTGGTGCTGGCTGGAGTGTCTTCAACAGTTTCCCAACACTTGCTTAGCTCCCCTTTAAACTAAGAGAGCAGATTTCCATCAGGCAATGAGTTGAGACATTTTATTTTATTGTATTTACTTTTTATAGTTACCTTTTATTTATAGTGAATATCAGCTTTTCCATTTAAAGAAGCAATACAAAGATTTTTCTTTTTAAATAAAAGTATTTAAACAAAAAAGTGAATGGATTTGAAAAAAAATTTTAAGGCAACAATAACAGAGATGGCCCACAAAGGTCACTGAAAATACATATAGCACTAATGCCCGAGGCTTGAGAAATGTAACTGTCCCAAGAACTCTTCAAAGTGTAAACAGACTCGCAGAGAGGTTTCACAGTTTGCCCTGGGACACAGAGCAAGGGTCTGGGCACTGAGCTGGGTCTGATGCTCAGGCCCGGACTGAGGAGCCTCTTGGCTCGGAACACGTGGCTTGGTATGGCAGGAGGTGGGGTTGAGCCCGGTAATTAAGCTCTTCCGTGGTAACGATCCAAGACTCAGACACCCTCAGGAAAGGGGAGTTTATCTCGGGCATAAGGAAAACAAGAATCTTGAGCGAACAGTCAGCAGGCCCCCTGGCAGCAGGAGTCTGGGTAGCAGAGCCCGATGCCCTCTGCTAACCGGGGTGACCTCCTCCGCAGGTTTCTCCGAGCACCTTCTCCCCAGGCACCTGCTCCCAGGGACCTCCCTCTTTCCCTGAGTTCAAATGCTCAAGACTGAGAGAAATCTGATTGGCCAGTTCAGGCCCGGCCTCCCTGATTGGGCGGAGCTTCTGTTCTGAGCCAGTTCATAAGCTGCTTGTCGGCCTATGGGTGGGCTTGCGTCAGGTACCCACCCAATCAGCTAGGCGCAGGGCCTATAAGTGCAGGCACAGCGCGCTCACAACTCGGTGACCCGGGACAGTCCTTTCCTCGCCGGGGCTTCTAGTGTGAGAGGAAGGTTGTGGCAGACATCACGGGTGTGATCTGTGCCAGGGACAGAGGGAAGAGAAGTGGAGAGGGGGTGGTGAGCACCGAGAAGGAAGGGGCCAGCTGTGTGTGTCTGTGTTTGTGTTGCTGGGAGGATGGCCATGAAAGGGGACGAGCCTCTTGCTGGAATGGGCATTCTGGAACCTAGTGAGCATGGGGCTTCGCCTCTCTGTGTCTTGACCTCAGAGGGGGATGGTGCCCCCTGTATGAAGGCAGCCGGGCACAGGGAGTCCAAGCAAGGTGGTCCCAGGATAGTTCATTAATTCATCCAGGGAATACGATGAGGGTGCCAAGCGCACCGTCAAGTGCGGCGAGCGAGCTGCTCTTCTGGGTGTGGGGGTGCCAGCCCCTGAGCTGCATTAGGGATCCCTCCAGTAAAGGTCTAGACTCTCTCTGACAGCCTCAGAACCTGCCACTAGGAGGGGTTTACTTTCCAGCAGCAGGCCTCCCGTGTCTGTGAAACCGCTATGGAAAGATCCAGCCAGTGTCGACTTTCCCCAGGGATTTGCGACCGTACTTGGGCCACAGTGGCAGGCACCCAGGAGCTAAGCATGCCGAGGTCACAAGAGATCCCAAGGGTGAAGTGACAGGGCTGCTTTGTCCAGCCATCCCATGACCCTGAGAACCCCCTCGGGCACTGAATCTCAAAGTTTGGGCACATTAATGGAGGCGGTATCTCCCTTCAAGGGAGCAGAACAGACCCTTGAGGCATCAGGGGGTTTGTCACCTAGATGAGGGAGGAGAGAGCACCGCAGGTACAGGGAACAGCATGTGCAAAGGTGTGGGGGCGTGAGCGAGCTGCTAGTGGCTCAGTAGGACCACTGGGAGGATTCCAGAAGGGAATGTCCCAGCATGATGCTGGAGGAGCAAGAGCCAGGCCAAGAAGTGGTGTGAGGGCAGCAGGGAGCCATGGCAGGGTTTAAACAAGGGGCAGCAGAGCTGTATTTGTGGTTCAGAGAGCGCACTCTGGCTGCCCTGTGGAGGATGGGCAGGAGGGGGTGGGACTGGGGCGCGAAACCCAGGGAGGAGGACACAGTGAAGATCCCTGGAGAACCCCGAAAACTCTCCGTGAAGAGTCCTTGCAGGGCTGGGGAGGAGGGATGCTTTAGAGGCAAAAGCCATGGGACTCCACTGCAGATGAGGGGAGTCCCAGTGCCCCCACCCGCTGCAGTTCCTGGCTTGGGCCACGGAACCAGGGAGCAGCAGTGACGGTTTTGGAAGTCAGCAGCTGAGTGTGCAGGGCTGGGTGGGGGTGGTGGGGGGCCTTGGGGCAGAGATGTCCAGGGGGTAGCTAGACACTGGGTGACTCAGCAGCGGACAAGGCTTGAGGACAAAAAGCCCTCACCTGGGCCCGGCACAACAGTGGGCAGCGACCTGCCTGGTCATCCGTCTACACTGAGTAAGCCGGGTCCTGATCCTGCAGCTCTTGGAGGGACAGGTAGGCATCAGTATTCAGGGTCAGGCAGGAGGCAGGGGCCCTGACCTGGCCTTGCCCAGGGAGACTAGCCCAGGGGAAGCTGACCCCCTCCCCAGGGCCAGGGGCTGGGACCTCCCCTCTTCCTTCCCGTAGGGCATGCTCCGGGGGTGGCTGGCTATCCCCCAGGTCAGGCGCTCCTGGGGTGGGAGGCACCAGGGGCTGGGGGGCCCAGTCTCTGGGAGCTCCCTCCTGCCGAGAGGGGGGCAGCTTCTCTTCACCAGCTCCAGCGCCCCCCGGGGCGGGGTTGGGGGGGGCGGGGCCGCCCAGGAGACCGGGAGAGAAGAGGAGCAGGTCATCCCCCGGGGGGAAGGTGCAGTAGGCATCGTCCTCTGCTGGTGGGGGCGGGAGGAGAGGCCCCTCGGGCGCCCCGGGCCCGCCCTCCTCAGTCTCTTCTGTGCAGGGGTCATAGGTGAAGTACACCTGGCAGGCCTCGATCTCCAAAGCGTCAGGGAGGTGGAAGAAGAAGTAACCCTGGTTGGTAAAGCAGCTGGTCAGCGAGTGGCCGCTGGTCTCGGTCGAGGGTGAGGGCCCCTTCTGCTGCTGCTGCAGGAGGAGCTGTGTGGCCTTGGCGTCCCGGTCCAACACCTCCAGCGGGGAGATCTCGGCTGCCTGGGTGTTGGGGCTGAAGGATGAGGAGGGGAAGGGCGAGGAGAGCCACTTCTGCCGGTAGAGAGAGGAGATGGAACGTGAGTGGGGTGCCTCCTCCAGACTCTCGGCAACAACTCCTAACTACAGTCTACTCAGGGCTGCTACCTCCAGGAAGGCCTCCCTGACTCTACCCCCCCCCCCCCCCAGCCGGCTTGGAGAACACCCGGGGTCAGCCCAGGGAGGGTGCTTCCTGTAGATGCCCAGGGGATGTGTTGTTTGGATGAGGGACTGTTTCTCGAGCGCCTGCTGTGAGCCTGGCACCACGCTAGGCACCGGGCAGAGGGGAAAAGCCTCCGTGCATCTGGTGGGGGCTAGCACAGGTGTGGGAGTCCACAAACCAGTGTCAAAGCCGAAAGGGCCCTGGAGCCCGTCTTGTTCACTTTACAGATGCCCAGAGGGGGGACGTGGCCTGGTCCTGATCACACAGCCAGCGGCGGCAGGGCTGGGAACAGGCTCCCCGACAAAATCTCTGGTGGGTGCAGATGGTCCTGCAATTCTCCACCCCCCTCCCCAGTGCCGTGCAGCCCCCACCTGCCATACAGTCCCTCCACAGAGAGAAGGAAGTGCCCACCAGAGCCCTTCCCAGTGGCTCTGGAGTCTGGAGAGCCCGGGTCCTCACTGACTGTGTGACCCTGGGCAGCTCACTGCACCTCTCTGAGCCTCAATTCCACAACACTTAGCCCCCTGTTTCCCAACTTCCTTACTGTGGGCCAGCAGGAGGATGTCAGATAAGAAAATGAAGGCAGAAGTCCCTGGCCCAGGGTGGAAGGCAGCCGACCCACAGAGGCGTAAGGGACAGCAGGCCCTCAGGGGGTGTGATGGGGGCCTCGGGTGGTTACAGTTGAGAACCCCAACAGCCCTCTGCCCCGGGAGCCCTCAGCAGCTGGACTGGAGTCCCCCTGGGCACAGGGACCAGGCCCGATGGGCTCCTCCCACACTCCTGTGCCCAGCAGGCTGAGAAGAGAGGGAGAGTGCAGGTCCGGCGGGGTGGGCGGGGGGGAGGGTCCAGCACTGGAAGAGGCAGTGGACGGGGCAGGGCCAGGCAGGTGGTGCTGGGCATGCAACCAGAAGAAGGAGAGGCCAGGCTTGTGGCCAGCACTGGTGTGCCAGGGCCTCACTGGCCCCTCTCAGAGGTGTGCGTGGTCAGCCACTTCCTGGGCCTGGGCCTCTGTCCACAATGCCCTGAAGTGGGGGTGGGAGGCAGGTGCAAAGAGAAATGTATCCCTCTTCACACACACACTCACACCCTGGCACACATACGCCCGGGTCCCATGGACAGGGGGGCAGTGGGCCTTGTGGCCTGGTAGCCAGAGGTCCTGGGGGAGAGAGAGAGGAGCAGGCCTCCCCCCCAGATGCAGAGGAGAGGGTGGGGTCCCTCTTGGCCAGGCCCAATCCCCAACCACACTGTGCCTCCCCAGGGCTTCCTTGGGAAACCCTCTCCACACCCTAGGTCTGGAGCAAGCATCTAGACCTGGGGATGACCTCACGGGAAGATGGAGTGGTTTGTCCCTCTCCATGATGGAGCCCACTCCCACCTCAAAATGTCCTAGTCCCATAGAATCAGAAAGATTTCACCCTGGAAGAGGACTAAGGATGCATCTAGTCCAGCCTTCAACCAGGAATCCCTTCTGCTAAATTTCTGACACATAGTAAGCCAAGGCTTGCTAGAATGCCTCTGTTGATGGGGCGCTCACTACCTTTAGGGCTTTAGGAAGAATTTTAAGGAGATTCATTCCCCCACATCAAGAGAACTGTAGGTAAGCTCTCCCCAGTCTTGGGAGTTTTCCAAAGAATTCCAGAAGGGGCAACTGATCGGCCATGATAGAGAACTCCAAAGCCAACTCTTGACACCTCTGGCCCAGTATGGCTTTCCAGCCCCTCGGCGCTCCTGCTGATCTCCCTCCACCCCCATCTCATCCTCCGCCAAATCTAGAGAGCCTGGGGAGGGGAAGGTGATAGAAGCAGCCCACCACAACCCCCTTCCCCCTCGACACTTCCTTCCTGAAGCAAGTGTGGGCTCAGGGAAGGGAGGCGACTGAGGTTTAAATGGGGCTCAGAGTGTTACTATTATCTGGGCCAGCACTTTCCCAGTGACTCCACATCAGTTGATGAGAAGCGGCTCAAGGACTTGTGACCATGGGGGATAGGGTGTGGAGCCCACTTAGGGCTTTCTGCAGCGGGGAGAGGAACCACTGCCCATGAAGAGAGTCTGCACAAGCGGGGCGGGGCGGGGGGGAAGGGTGTGGAGAAGTGGCAAGTCCTGCTCAGTCAACAGACCGGTGACAGCAATTCTAGCCAGGGCCCCTTGTGCGCCAGGCATGATCTCGGGCCCATCCACATAGTGACACTCTTTCCCTCCCCGAACTAGCACAAAGACATTCCATAACGCGCCCAAGGTCACGCAGCCAGGAAGGGCTGGAGCCGGGATTAGAAGCCAGGCAGTCTGGCTCAGACGGGAGGTACTCTTCAGCCTGAGAAGGTTGGTGCCAGAGCTGGGGAAAGGGGCCCATACCCAGCCGAGAGGCCGCTCACTTCGGTATTTGTCTCCTTTCACAAAGTGCAGACCCACTCCTCCTGTGCCCCCACCCACTCACACCTCTGGCCACGCCCCTGCCAGCCTGAGCCAGCTGCCTGCTGCTCTCCTCCAGCCCCCGACTCCTACCTGGAAATCTCCGCCATGCTCTGACTTCAGCTGGGAAAAGAACTCCGAGGGGTCTGGGATGTGGCACTTCAGAACCTTCTTCAGCCTGAACAGGGGAGGAGGAGGGAGAGAAGGAAGATGAGAAGGGAAGGGGGCCACGGTCTCCTGCCGGCACCCACAGCCCTGAAGGGAGGGTACGGAGCCACTCCACATTCATCTGTTGGATCAATACCAAGTGAATTCCCAGTGAGGGAGGGTACTGGGCTGGGTCTTGGGGACATAAGAATGGCAGACAGAGAAGGTCCCTGATCTTAAGGAACTGACATTCTAACAGGGAGACAGACACGAACCAAAGGTGCAACACGACCACTCATTCTATGGAAACAAAAGGCAGAGGGCTGTGCCAAAGAAGGATGTGGGGGTGTGGGACCACAGGACCCAGAGTGGTCAGGGACCACACCGAGCCAGATGTCTGGAGTAGAGTGAACGAGGAGGCGGGAGGTAGGAGAGAGGCCAAGATTGTGTGTCTTCTTGTCCAGGCTCTCATGGATGGTGGTTCAGGTTGTGCACTGCTTAAGGGCACCTGATTTTAGGGGGGTATTGAGTGGGTGCTGAATTCCAACCCATGCTCTGCTTGCCAAGCTGAGTTCCCCAGGATCTATATGCATCTACCTCAAAATGTGGTCATAGCCTCAAGGCCCCAGAAAGCCTGACTGCCCCCGTCTAGATGTTCAGGCTCAGGTCAGCCCTCCTCCACCCCTTCTGGTCTCCAACCACACCTGCCTCCCTGAACTCTCAGTTGTTGTAATGCTCCTCCCTCCTTCCCATGTAAGGCCTTTGCACACCCTGTTTCTTCTGTTTCTGATGCACTCCCCACCCCCTCCACCCTGCCTGGTTAGCTCCTCCTTCGGATTTCAAGGGAATCATCCCTTCCTTGGGCATGCTTCTGCCAGCCACCCCTCAGCCAAGGTTCCTCTCCCCGTTGTCTGTTTCCAATCCATCGAGTACCTTCCTTTACCATCCCCTTATGGTGTGTCATTGTATTTGTGTATGATTTATAAATATCTGCCTTCTCCCACGTGACTATGAGCTCCATAAAGATGGAACCGCATGCATGTGGTTTGCCCTTGTATTCCCAGCACTCGGTGCCAGGCCTGGCACTGAGCTGGCGCTCTCAACTAATAAAGGAATAAGCTAGTGAATGCCAGGACCTAGAGAGATCCATGAGGACACACACATAGAGAGAGTTGGCATTTGCACACATGTGCGTATGTGTACTCAACACCCAAGAGTAATGCTCTGGGCGGGGCCTCCCTGGGGCTTTCCCCCGCCTCCGCCCCGCCCTGCTCCCCTCAGGCCGGTTCTCTGGGATTCCATCTTTGGGGTGACAAGGAAAGGCCAGGTGTTAGGCAAGGAGGACTTTGGGGAGGGCGGAGGGAACACTGGTGTGTCGGGGCAGGGGGCTCAGCCCGGGGCCTGACCTGGCAGGGGGTGTGTGTGTCAGATGAGAGCACAAAGGAGCGGGAAAGGAGGGCTCTTACCATGGTCTGATGTACTGGCAGGTGGCCAACGAGTAGACCAAGATGATAAAGCCAAAGGCACTGCTAACGCCCATGATGGTGTGGCCAAACCAAAGAAAGGGCAGAGTCTGCTTCCCTGAGGCCACCCAGGAGCGGGAGGAGAAGCAGGGAGAGGGGTTAGAGCGGCGCCCCTGCTCGCCCAGATCACTCCAGCATCCCCCTGCTGCCACCCTGGTGCTGAGGGACAGGCCGACCTCAGACCCAAGGCCTTCGCAGGTCCCGGCTAACCCAGCAGACCTGCTGTATACAGGGCTGACAAGGGACATCGCGTGCCTCATCACAGCAGCCCTGCCGGGGAGAACAATACCCACTCTATAGATAAGGAAACTGAGGCTTCCAGGTGCGAGCTGCCCGCCCCCGGCCACACTGCTCACTCTGCAGGGTCACAACGAGTGAGCTTATAATAGCAGGTGAGCATGACTGGGGCTGAGCCCTGTACCCCACTCCCAGGCCTCCCCCACCGGCTGCCCCCAGGCCACACCCCAGCCGTCCCCTCCCATCTGAGCTCCGTCCTAACCCCTTCTGTCCTTGGTACCTGCCGTCCTGAAGGCCAGGGGCTGACTCCAGGGACTCCAAGCTTTGTGGCTGCCTAGGTGGGCCCTGACTCGCACTTGAAGTTCATACAGGGTGCCTGGAGTGAGTGTCTCTAGGCAAATCCATTGCTGGTTCTGCCTGAGGATCAGCACGGAGGCCTCCTGGGGCAGAGACAGGCGGGGGTCTGTCAGAGCAGAGGGGTCTCCACGGCCCACCTCACCTCCCATGGCAGGGCTGACTGGGAGGCTGAGCAGATAACACCTTCCTTCCTCCGCGCCAGCCACCCTCCTCCCCGCCCCCCCATCACTCTCCCCCCACGATCCCTGACCACTCAGCCCCAAGCCCAAGGGCATCCTGAACCCCTCCCCCTCACTCATCCTCCACACACAAAGCCTGCTGCCAACCAGCTGGTTTCACCTGCCGAACCAGAACCAATTCTGGACCCTTCCCCTTCTCCCCTCTCTCCTCCCCCCATCTCAGGCAGGAGGTGGTCTCCCAGCTTCCGGCTCAACTCTGCTACAGTCTGTCTATTTGCCACGCAACCAGGAAGAGCGTTTTTCCAGAGACCTCTCCCACCCCTGGACCACTCTTTTCGCTTTTATCCCCCATCCTTCAGACACGCAGGCCATGTCATGGCTTCGGTGGCACCCCCTGTCTGAAGTAGCCTGCCCCAGGCCCTCCCGAATGTGGAATCCCATTTCGTTTCCTTGATAGCCCTTCTCAATATCCCATAGTCTCCAGTCTCCCTGTTTGCAGACTGCCTTCCCACCCCCCATGTGAGTTTCCAGAGCTCGGGGGGGGGTGGGGGGAAGCTTGTCAGGGTCGCCCTCCACTCTCTTTTCAGCGGCCAGCATGAGCCAGCACCCAGCCAGCACCCAGCGCCTAGTAAGGACTCAGTAAGTGTTGAGTGAGCAAATCCGGGGTGGGGAAGCGGCGGACCCCAGTCGCTGTGGACCACCCTGGGTTTGAAGCACGGACAGGTGGCTTCCCAGGGCCCCTGAAATCTCAGAGGGCAGTCACCTGCCCCTCAGCTCTGTAAACTCTTGCTCTGGCATCTGCCACCAGCTGGAACCCCTGGGTTGTCGGGGGCACATACAGGGAGGGGGAGGCCAGAGCAGGCAGTACAGGAGAGCGGCAGGGGCTGCCTGGGGGCTGCCGTGGCTTTGCTGACATGAAGGATGGACAGGGTGACCAGGACAGCAGAGAGGAGCCCCGGCAGGTCCGGGCTGGGCCATGCACTCACCTCCCAGCTCTGGCCCAGGGACCTTGTCCGGGCCTCAAACTCCAGGTAACTTTCAATGTAGTGGGAGGACTGAGGGACTTTCCAGGTTATGTTGCATTTGTGGGTCCCAACGTGGGTGACTTGGAGCAAGTCGGGGGCCATCAGGCGAACTGAGGCAGGAGAGAGGAAGGGAGAGTGAGCTCAGGGGATGCTGGGTGACCATGCTGAGGGGATAAAGCTCAGAAGCACCCCGCCTCATCTTTGCACCTACTATTTCTCCCTCCTGGCTGCCCTCCCCCACAGAGATCCTGCGTGGAGAAGCCTTCCCCCACCACCCGCCACTCTCTACCCCCTCACCTGTTTTATATCCCTGCCCAGCCCTTAGCCCCACCTGACATATCAAATATCTATTTGGGGTTCTTTGTTCATTTTCTGTCTCCCCCACCGGACCGTGAGCTCAGTGAGGGCAGGGACTGTGGCCTCCGAGGTATCCCTGGCACCTGGAGCATTACCTGGCACGTCATAGGCGCCGGATTAAGTATCTGCTGTATGACAAAAAAGTCAAGGCCACGGTTCTCTGCATCCCGAATGGATCCGAGAGCTTTACCTGGATCATCTCATGTAATTTAATTGAATCTCAGTAACCTTATAGGATTATAAGATTTTATGATTCTGAAGTTAAACTGCCCTAAGTTTTTATAATTCTGGAACTCTGTAGAACTAGTAACGAGTAACACTGAGTGAATGTCTATTGAGCGTGTGCTAAGCGGTTTCTGTGTCTGTCTCACAAACTCCTTACAGCAACCAGGGTCCGGCAGGTAACCGATTCTCCCCATTCTTGATGGGCAAACTGAGGCTCAGCTGTGTGAAATGATCTGCTGGGCAGACCACATTCAGTTAAGGCAGGGCTGCATTGAGAACCCTGCCTGGATCTCGCCCTTTCTCCCTTAGAGATGGCCTCCCCTAGAGATGGTCTGGGGATGGGGCTGGGCACCCAGTCATTCAAAACACCTTCCCAGAGCCCTGCCAGGATAAGGCCTGGTGCCGGGTACTTGGAGTAGAGACATAGGGATGACAGACGCTCTGCCCTCAGGGAGCTCACAGCCCAGTGAGGGAGACAGTCCCAGAATCAGGCAGTGAGGACCCTGAAAAAAACATAAACACCCTGAAAGAGGAGGTACGATGGGGCTGAGAGGGTCTGGGAAGGCCTCCTGGAGGAGGTGACTCCTCACAGAGCCTTGAAGAGTGAGTGGGAACTTTTCTGGTGGGAAGAGCCTTCCGGGCTGCGGCACCGGCAAATTCAAGGGCTCAGAGGCACGGATGGGCAAGCTGAATTCAGAGAGCTGACCTTTGGTTGTGATGGGAATACAGGCCACGAGAGGAGGGGTGCTAGATTGGGAAGCCAGGGCCAGATCCGGAGCTATGAATACCGGGGGAAGGAGCCAGGACTACGTCCCGAGGGCAGCGGGCAGTGAGAGGTCACACGTGGGTATGGAGAGAGACCGGAATGGGGAGGGTCCCAGACAGAAACACAGGACAGGAGGTCCCTAGCCCGCCCCAGTCCCCCGACCCTTCCCAATTCCTCACTCACGGTTCTCAAAGGGCTTGAAGTCCTGGGTCATCCGTGTCTTCCACCTTTCCCCTTCGTAGCACATCACGCTCATGCGGACGATGTCAGCTGCAGTCAGGCTCTGAGCCTGCAAGGGAAGGACATGGTAGGGATGGGGGGCGGGGAGGACAGGGTCGCGGGAAGACAAAGGCCGCCACAAAAGTGGGGGCCCTCACAAGCCCCACCAACTAAGGCAGGAGTCGGCAGGCTTTTCCTGTGAGGGTGCGGAGAGTAAATATTTCTAGCTTTGCACATCAAACGGTCTCAGTCACAACTACTCAGTTCTGTTGCTGGCCTGTAAAAAGCAGTCAGAGACACCCTGTAGGGGAATGGGCATGGCTGTGTACCAATAAAACTTTATTTACAAAAACAGACAGCAAGCGGAATTTGACCCGTGATCTAAAGTGAAGTGAGCTGCCTTGGAAGGGAGGGCGTTCCCCATCACAAGAGACGTGCAAGCAGGATGAGCCCCCAAGAAAAGGCAGGTCTGGAACTGTACCTGTGTACTAGTTTTGAGTGTGAAAGCCTACCTCTCCCCATTCCCACATCCTGACTTTTTTGGGAAGGAAATGGCCAGGCGGTGAGCATCTCCTGAGGGCAGGCACTGCTCAGGTGCCTTAGGCACTTCTCTGGCTGATTCTCATAGCAATCCATCCTCTTAATGCAGGTGAGAAGCCCGAAGTCACACATGTGGTCAGCAGGGGAGTCCGCATTCAAAGCCAGGCCTCTGCAGCCACTGCCCCCACGGAGCCCCGGCCCTGGGCCTCAGGTCCTCTCCAGATCTGTGCTCTGGGTTCCGAGAGGGTGTTTTCAGCTCCAGGAGCCCGGGCACAGTCCCTCTGACCTACCTGCCACAGGACCTACCATGAGCAAACCTTGAACCTGATCATCAGAGTCCCCAGAGCTGGGAATAATTCCTCCCTCTCCACCCCAAGGACCCTGCCCCTGCTTGCGTCCGGCTGCTCTGGGGGCCTGATGTTTCCAGATAATGATGGTATTATCATCATTATTAGTATGATCACAGTCGTTGTAAAGATGCCAGGAATACATTGTGTTGGGCTCTTCCTCCGTCCCAGGCGCTCTTCTGCGTGCTGGACACACGTTCTCTCATTTCACTCTCCCATCACCCTACGGGACAGGCACTGTGGCTCTTCTCATCCTGCAGCTGAGAAGGCTGACGCTCCAAGAGGCTAGGGCCTTGCCTGACATCGCACAGCTAGGAAACGGTGGGGCCAGGATCTGAGGGCAGACCCTCTGCAGAGCTCACGGGGACAGGCACAGCCGTCTGGTTCCAGCCGTGTGAGCCCATCTCCACATCCTCCTGCCCCTTAAGAATGGGTATGACCTGATGACGGCTGGAAAATGTGGTCTGGGCAGCCCTGGTGTCCGCCGCTGCCGAGGAGAGCGTGACAGATAATAATTTGGTGCACGCCCGCATGGACATGGCCGCACGCCCATCTAGAGGCAGCCCATCTAGAGGGTTCAATTGCAGCTCTCTCCCCTCCCTGGCAGGGCCTCTCTGAGCCTCAGTTTCTTCACTGATAAGAAGGGGACAGTGCTGGGGCCCACCCACAAAGTCGCAAGGATCCACGGACTACAAAGTCAAGTGCATGCTCTGTTCTGGGTGGGGTGCCTAGGGCTTTAACCCACAGGACAGCTCCATGAGGCAGGTGCCATCATTCTTGCCATTCTGAGAAGGGCAGCCTAGGACTCAGGAGTTGCCCGATGCCACCCAGCGGGCGTTACGATGAAGCCAGGGCTGGCCCCCAGACCTTCAGCTCTGGGATCCGCACTTTTAAGCCCACGTTGCCCTGCATTTGCCAAGACCTTGGGAAGAGTCAGAGGGGGTGTTGTCGTTGGTGGGCGCCCCCCCCCACCTGATGAGGAGTACAGAAGTGTCACAGGACGCACAAAGCATGGGGGAGGCGGTGAAGCAGAGGCAGAATGACCGAGCTTCTCAGACCACAGATCCCTCAACCCCCAATCGGCCCTGAGTTCTGGCCTTTGGACACTGCCCTGCTTCCTTCCGCCTCTCTTGCTCCGGGCAGGCTGCTGTGCCGTGGTCTGTAGCTAAAGCCACTGGGCTCGCTGGGCCCCAGCTCTGCCCCTGGCAGAACCCGCCTCTGCCCCTGGCCTCCCCGGGGCTCTCTTCTCAGCTCCCACTACTCACATCTGGGGATCCAAGGATCAGGTGACAGACCCACAATGCCAGGCTCACCGGCAGCAGCTCACAGGATTTGTTCCAAGGCCTTTCAAGGCAAAAGAACCTTCTTAGGACAAAAGGAGGGACCCCCCCCCCAGAGCCAGCCGTCGGGATGGCCCCCCATGCAGCAAGGCCAGTCTGTGCGGGGCTCTATGCCAACCTTGGTAGAGACCCCCGTTCCCCCACCTGTTTCACCTCCCATCACGAGCACCTCTTCTTGCCCTCCCCAGCCTGGGCCCACAGGAGCCACAGTGATCTTCGAGAAACAAGCAGTTCAGGACATCCCCCACCTAAAGCCCTCCATAGTCTTCCCATGGAGCTGGAAGGAGCCTTTGGAACCCTGTGGAATCACCACCTACCCAAGGCCATGGCCAAACCCAAAGGCACCTTTGCTGTTGCCACCAGGATGTCCAGATCATGGCAGACCCTTCCCTGACTCCCTCCCAGCCCCCAGGCTCTCAACCATGCCCCAGGCCCCTGTTGCCACAGCTGCCCTAGGAGTCTCGCAAAAAGCTTGGGGAGCCCCCTTTCTGACCACCCCCTTGCTTCTAAATCGACTCTAACCTTGGCCCATCAGCCTCACAGCCCGGTGTCCCCAAACTACCCTGTCTAGCTCGTCCCCGGCCCCTCCACTGTAGACTGGACCCCCACTGCTCACTTCCACCCTGGTTCTAGGAATCTAAACATCAGACTGCTACACTTTCCAGATATCTGTGATACCAAGAGTCTGTGGGTCCCTATCAGTCCAAATTCTCAAAGTGCAACATCTTGGCATCTACCAGTAAGGAATCCCGAGAGTCTAAACACCAGTGATGATAAGAACCACCACTTCCCAATCCTGAGATGTTGCCGTTTTGCTGGTCAACCCCACACTAACCGTCTATCCGGATGAGCGTGGATCTTGCAGGACGTGGCCTGCGGGTCCCCATCCCAGCTCCAGACACAGGAGATGTTGGCTTTTGAGTTGTAGAAGCATGTGAGCTTGGAAGTGTCTGCTGACAAGATGAGGCATGAGTGGCTGGCCGCGGGGTGTCCACAGCCCCCCCAGGGCTCGCCCACCACCCAGTTCCTTGCACCCTGTGCCTACCAGATGAGGAGGGAGACAACCCTGCTGGGCAGAAAGGAACTCAGTGGATCCATTTCAGAGAGGACAACACTGAGCCCCAGAACCTGCAAGGTCCCATGGGCAGGCCGAGGCAGAGCGGGCATGAAAAGCCAGTGTCTTCCTTTGGCGTGGGGAGACACATGGGTGCAGCAGGGACGGGACAGAAGGGCCAAGGGAGAAGGTGGACGCCTGATCTCTGGTCCCATTGCCCTTGCCTCCCTCCTCCCCTGCCTCCTGCCCCTGCTGACAGGACTCTGCCGAGAAGCAGGGGTCCTGAAAGGGGTTCTACAAGGGTGTTGGCCGCCTTCCCAAGAGAAAGCGCAGCTATCCAGATGCCAGGGTCCTCACCATTCACTGCTATGGATCCACGAGGGATGGCCAGGGCCAGGAGGAAGACAGGGAGGGACAGACACCAGGACAGACCAGGAGCTGCCATCACATCCATGGGTGGGAGCTGGGGAAGGGAGCCCTAGAGGGAGGAAGAAGGGGAGAAAGCACAAGTGAACACCTGCTCCAGGTCCCTCACCACTCCGAGAGGCAGGCTGAGCCCTGCCCATCTCAGGGTGCCTCGTTCTGCTCTCTACCAAGCCAACACCATCCAGCCTCAGGGCCTTTGCACCTGCTGGTCCCTCGGCCCCACACACACCTCCTTCCTTTAGGGATTCAGGGAGCCATACACTGTCAGGGCTGAAAGGGCTCTCTGAGTGAGCCCACCTCTTTGTTCAAAAGCTGGGGAAACTGAGGCCCAGAAAAAGCAAAGATTTGCTCAGGTCCACATAGGGAGGCCAGCACAGAGCTGGGATTAGAGCTCACCTCTTCTCTGCCCTACTGCCCCCTTAATCACACCTAAAGCCCTCATCGGGAGGCTCCTAGATGCCAGGCTGACTTAAACTCTTTAAATGAAGCAATAAGAACTCTATTGGAGATACTCTTATTATCTGCATTTTCAGATGGGGAAACTGAGGTACAGGGACATAAAGCAAACTGCCCAAAGTCATACAGCTGATAAGAGGCAGATGTGGAATCTGCGCCAAGGCAGACAGCCCAGAGCCCGGGCAGGGAGGGGCTCCTGTAACTTCTCTGACTATATCTTCCCCCACCACCGAGATAGTTGACATGCTTGATACTCATGTACTGACTATGTCCCAGCAACACTCGTGGGGTGTACTGAGCACTCAGGCTGTGCCCAGCATTTTACGCACACTGGATCATCTTCTCTTCCCAGCAGCTTGGAGGCTGGGTGCTTGTATTATCTATCCGCTTACACAGATGAAGGAGCTAAGGCTCTGAGTCATTAACCTGCCAAGGTCACGTGCACAGAAGAGGCAGAGTTGGGATTTCATTCCCGGCTCACTCACCCCCAGGGCCTATTCCCTCATGTCCTTCGGCCCTGCCCAGACCCTGTCCCGGGCACCGGTCCCAGAGGTAAGGCCAACAGCCTCCGGGCCGTGGAGTCGAGGAGTCAGGGCCCAGCAAGGGCACAGGCCAACTGTCAGGTGTCTGGCTTGGGTTCGAAAAGGAGCCCAGAGAGGTACCTATGGGCTCCTCCTTGCCCGGCCCACCATCCCCGCAGGAGCGGGAGCTCCCCAGTGGGGATAGGGGATGGGGGCTGTTGCCTTTTTTCCTTGGGAACCCCCCCCCACAGCACAGGGCACGGCATTGGGATCCTCAAGGGGTCCAGCAAGCCCTCCTGTGCCCCCCTACTCACTCAATCATGGCCCTGGAGCATGGGCACCATCCTCTCCCTGGAGGGCGTCACCCCAGGCCAGCACCAGCCAGCAAGACAACCCCATGCCAAGGACAGGACCTGGTATAGAGCCTCAGGATGAGGGGAGGAGGGTCCGGGCAAAGGCGTGCAAGATCACAGGAAGGTCAAGGCCAAACCACAGCCCCAGCAGAGGCAAGCCGGCTGGAGCAGAAGCATTGTCTAAAATGAGTTCCCTGCCACTCATAGCAGAAAGGGTGCAGCGATGTACATCACAATGGCAAAGGGCACAGGGAGGGGAGCATGGGCTGTTCCAGAGCCGGTCGGGGCAGGGAGGGCTCCTGGCCGGCGCTGAGGCTGCACCCTCCAGCAGAGCAGGGCACTGAGACCCAGGGAGGCTAAGGAACCTGCTCAAGGCCACGGGCCCAGCCTCAGGGAGAGCAAGCAGGACCTCTGAGTCCTAAGCACCATAGGTCCTAGGTTCTCAAGCACACCCACGCACCCTGCCCTTCACGGCTGCACAACCACACTCACTGACTCATGAGGTCCCCACCGCAACCCTGGAAGGTGGCTGTCATCACCCCCCTTTGACAGATGCCGAGACTGAGCTCAGCGCTGCCCGGGGAGCTGGACTCAAAGCCAGTCATCTGATTCCAAGTGAGGAGATGATAATGACGGGGACAATGACGATGACGATGGTGATGATGGTGACAGGGATGGTGACTAATACTCGGCTCTCGTTCTGTGCCTGGGTCCTTAGCACTCAGCAGATATCACCTCACTTGGTACCCACAGCAACCCTGGGAGTAGGTACCATTATGACTCCTTTTCTCAGATGAGGAGACCAAGGCCGGTAAGCCTCTCGCCCAGGCCAGAGTGCGGCCGAGCCGGGGGTTGAACCGGGTCAGTACCGCCTGATTTCCCGCCACCGCCGGGGCTGACACTGTGGGCCGTGGGGCGCCGGGGGGCGGGGCGAGGACCAGAAGCAGGAGCACGGCAGCCAGACCGCTGGCCGTGATGGGTGCCATCTCCCCTGGTCCTCCTGCCCCCCCCCAACACACACACACAGGGTGGTGGGCAGACGGGCGGGGCAGGGGGGCTGGCGCCTTGCTCTTTAACTCCAGGAGCATCTCCCCAGCTGGGCTCGGAGTCCCGGCTGTGGGACTAGGAAGGGGGACCCTCAGAAGTGGCTCTGCCCCTCAGCCACCCCACCCCACCCCTGCGGTGCTCCTAACACCATTCAGGGCAGGAGGCCTCATTCCCCAGGAGAGAGGGCAGCTCCAGAGATGGAGTCCCATCCCCTCCAGTGGTGCCTAGAGACAGTACTGACCTGCCCGCTCACATGGCCAAGGGAGGGACAAATCCGGACTCAAACATGCCAGTCTGGCCCCCCCCACCCAGGGCTCCCGGAGAGGAGGCAACCCAAGTCTCAGAGGGGCCCCCTCCCTCCGCTCCCACCCCACAGCCTCTTAAGGAGCACTTTACCCAGGGATGCCTCCCCAGTGTGGGTCCCTCCCCAGTGTGGGTCCCCTTCCACAGCCGCAAGCAGGGGGCTCGCGTGCCCCCCCACCCCACATCCCAGTGCCCTCCGTCTGGGGCTCAGCTGGCCTCCCCCCTCCCAGTCTTCCTGCCTCTTTCCTCACCCCTTCTGGGTTGGGAGGCCCCTCGTCCCAGAGCAGCCCCCAGCTTCCCCAGGGATGGGCTGGGAAAGAGGGGTCGCCCCAAACTAGGGACCAGGTTTTTCTCAAGCCAAAAGCCATGAGATCAGGACCTGCCTCATCCTTGCGGGATTTCAAGATAAGACTGGGGGCCGGGAGGGCTGGGAGATGGAATTTCCAGCAGAATCTCCTGGGGCATCTAAGCGAGAGCTGAAAGTTGTCCCGTGACCTTCACTTCCAGCCCTGGGCTGGTGGCAGGGCCGAGAGGGAGCCCCCCCCAGGTCGCTGGGAACCAGACGGGGGCAGAGTGAGGGCAAAGTCACCTGGCTGAAACATGGGGATGCCACGCACGCTCTTGGGATCGCTCCACTGCTGGGTCCACAGCCATCTCCCCAGGGCCCTGCTCCGACTCCGACTGCAGCAGCCCAGGTAGTAGCTGGCTGATGAGGCCGGCAAAGACTCAAACCCCAGGGCCAGCCCACTTCCTGTGCAGAGGATGGAGGGGGCAAGGCCTGGGGTGGCGACGGGGAGAGAGCAAGCTGGTGAGAAACTCTGAAACTCCTGAAGCACCTAGGGGACCAGATAAAGATCTCCCTCCTCCGCTGGGGGGTGGGGTGGGGCGGTGTGGGTGTCTCGGTAGCAGACACACTCTCACACGCGCGCGTGCACTCACACACGCACACGTGAACACACCCAGTGCCTCTTAAATAGGCGCCTTGCTGCCCATAGGAGCCCGACGCGGTGCAGCCCCTTCTTTTCCCTCCTCCACCACCCCAGCCCATCTCACACGGGCCCCTTGGAGCCTCTGACACCTTCATCCAGTCTCACACACACACAGCCACTAATCCCCAGGCCTCACACAAACATGTCCTTTGAGGTGTCCCCAGCACTTCTCACACCCTCGGAGACCTCCCTTTTCACCCAGCCTTCCAGGGAGCCCCTTACTTAGTTTAGCATTGGAGGGGACCATGTGCCAGGGCTCTGCAAACCGTTTGATGGCCTTTTATTGAACATTCTAGAACCTTCCTTTTCCTTTCAAGTCGTGGTTCCTAAGCCTTCCCTCCCCACCCCCCTGCTCAGGACCATTTTCTCAAATGATGAGAAATTGGGGGCCCCTCTTTAGAAAGGTGCACACCTAGTGAAGTTCCATCCAGCATCCAGAAGCAGCAGCTCTGCGTTCTCTCTTTCTCCTGATTTTGATGACCCTGCTTCGGCGGGGGCGGGGGCGGGGGCGGGGGGGGGGTGGTGTTCTGATAAGCAGTTCCACAGAACCTGCCGTCTGCATGGAAGGAAGAGCAACATTGACAGCCCTGGGGAGAGAGTCAGCAGGCTCCCTTCTGAGGAGAAGCAGAAGCAAGATGCCAGCGTCCCTGAGAAGAGCGAGACCTTCTTTAGAGCCTGCCCGCAGAGTGAGCCTCCCTTCCCGGGCGTCGGTGTCCAGCGGGCAGAAGGAGGCCTGCTGGTTCCGACCGTCCACCGCACAGAGTGGGCTCCCCCACCTCTCCTCTCTCCCAGAGCAAGGCTTTCTGGTTGCAGGAGTAGCTAATCAACACAGCCACCACAAAGATGAGAGTAGCCAAGATTTATTAAGCCTAGAAGATTTCTGGAAGCTTCTCAAGAAACCGGGAGCGCTATTTCTCCCAGGAAGGAAAGCCAGGTCAGGAAGGGGGAGGTAGGAAGGATGTTTTTCACTGTAGACCCATGTGTACCACCCGAACATATTTCCTGCCCCCAAATCAATGCATTCAGTTGAAACTTTTAGACACACATCAAGAAAAAATACATCCCCGGGCGAAGCCAAAAATCACGGGCCCAGCTTGCCGTAAGTAGCCACTGCCCGCAGCTTTGCCCGTGGGGGGGGCTTTAGCCTGCCTGCTTGGCCGGCCCGAAACCCTGCCCGCCTCCGCCCTTCCTTGCTTAGTCCTTTCTTTCGTTCATTCTGCAAGCATTTATTGAGCGTCCCAGATGTCCCAACAGCAAGGTGGGAGGGAGCCTAAGCGCCCTCACCCAGGCCCAGAGGGTCGAGCTTTTGCTTAGGGGCTCAGGCCAGGACCCCCGAGGTGGAGAGGCAGGGGTGGCGATGGTGGGGCCGGCCCTCACCCTCCACCTAAAATCTAATGGCTGTAGGAACACGCAGGAGGGGGCACACGGTGGTAGAGAGAGAAAGTGGGAACAGGTCCCTCTGGCCCGTTGTGTTCTGTCCTCCTGGGCATCTGCTGGACTCCACAGGTCAGCCCCCCTCGTAGTCCAGTGGAGCCGTGGGGCCGAGGGGCCAGTGGGGTGTGGTGGAGTGATTTTGTCCTACTTCCGGGCCTAAAACCCTCCTCGTGTTCCTCCTCTACCTGGGTCTGTCTCCTTCCGCACTCCTCCTCCCCCTCCCTCTCTGTCTCCCCCTCTCCTTCCCCCTCCCCTGCAAGAATCCACTAGAGGATGTGAAGCCCTAGCAGGCACCTGAAGGCGCCACTCCCCACTCCCCAGCCAAACCACACTGCACTGTAACAGGAGCGAGAAGGGAAGGGCCCGGGAGGTTCGGGGGTTTGGCTTCAGCAGTCGGTGGGCTTCACCCCGACTGACACACAGAGGTGCCACAGGTGCCGAGCTGGGTGGTAAAGCCAGGTGAGGGCTGAGCGGGCAGGCCGGGCTTGGGCCCCCCGGGCGTGTGCAGAGTGGGCGGGGAGCAGGATGCTCTGTTCAGCCCCCACACTGGTCCCAGCGGCCATCACCTGCCTCGGAGCCAGGTGCACAGAAGCCCCCCCTTCCGGGCCCCCCGTTTCCACTCCTGATCCGCACCCCCAGTCTGTTCTCCACTCAGCAGCCAGAACAATCTTTCCCAAAGCCAAATCAGGTCATTTCTCTGCAGCACCCCTTTTAAACTCGCCAGTAGTTCCCAGCGCTTTCAGAATCAAATCCGGACTCTTCGTCTTAGCCTCAAAGCCCCATAGGAGCAGCCCGGCCGCCATGTCTGGCCTCCTCCTGGGGCTCAGGCATCGCTGCTGTTTGGCAACTCCCCGCGCCTCGGGGCTGTACGCACAGCTCCTCCTGCTCTCTGCCGAGCTAGCCCCTTCCTTCCCATCCTCAGGCAAGGAAACTGAGGCTCGGCGGTCATCTGACAGAACGTGGCAGAGCCAAGATTCGACCCGGGGTGTGTCTGAGAGAGGATATCCAAGTCTCTGAGGGATCCTGAAGAGGAATCCAGAAGCTTGTCTAATGGCAGGGGCCCGACAGAGCCCACTGAGGCCTGCCCAGACCTTTATCTCAGGACTTCTGGGGGTCAGACCTAGCCTCCTCCTCTGCCAGCCGCCAAACAGCCAGGTGCATCAAAGGCTGGTCCCTAGAACCGCCTCTCCCGTGCCCTCCACACCTCCACCGTCGCTCCCCACTGGGTCTCACAGTGCCCACTGCCCACCAGCCACCCTGCACCCTCAGCTTTCAGGGCACAGCCCCAGCAGCTCCCGGCTCCTGAGGGGGGGACCCCACTTTCGTAGGTGCCCTGGGGCAAGCACATATGGGGTCTTCCGGCTTCCTCCTCCTTATCCCCCATGCGGAAGCCCCCTCCCGCCCCAAGCCTGCTTTGCCACCGTCACTGCGCCGGCCTCCCAGACTCCAGATCTGATATCCGTGTTCTTCCGTGTTCCCCTGTGAGCGGCCGGTTCACCAGCGCCTCCAACCCCAGCGCCCAAGCAGCTCACGTCTCGTGCCAACTGTGCCTTTCACATAGAAAGTCATTTCCTGCGGCGCCTGGGTGGCTCCGTGGATGAAGCATCTGCCTTCCTCTCAGGTCCTGATCCCGACGTCCTGGGATCGAGTCCCGCATGGGGCTCCCTGCTCCGTGGGAAGCCTGCTTCTCCCTCTGCCTCTCCCTCTGCCGCTCCCCACTGCTTGTGTGCTCTCTCTCTCTCTCTCTCAAATAAATAGATAAAATCTTCAAACAAAAAGCAAGCCTGCCTCCCCTCTTCCTCGCCAGGACTGCTTGAGGGGAGCTAGCTGTCCCGCTCTGCCTGGGCCCAAAAGGGTTTCAGGACATGGGACATTCAGTGCCAAGGCTGGGAGAACATCAGTCACCCCATTCCCACCCTACTCGTCCCCCACTAACTCAGCCCACCCAGCCAGGGCGGCTTCTACGCACACATGGGCAACTGCGTCTTGTGTCACGGCGGGCAGCAGGAACTATGTGTGACTCATGCAGACAGTTCCAGAGTCTAGAAGTCACTTGGCATACAGCATGTGTCAAGATTCAGGGAAGGAAGGAAAAGAAAGACTCAGAGTTTCCAAATCTAATACAATGACGATTCCAGAAGATACAAATTTAGAAGGACACAGGGAGTAATGTATTTGACGTTTGCCGTCAGCATGGTTTTAAAGGTTGGGTCACTTCATCGGTGGGTGCTCCAAGGGGACCCCTCTGGGGGGTAGGTTTTGACGACCTCCATCAACAGCTCCGGCCCATGACCCAGTCGTGGCATGTCTCAAGCTCATCCTGCAGAGAGAGGCGTGCACACGTAGGAAATGTGTGCGCCAAGCCTGGAAGCAGCCAGAATGTGCATCAACAGAGGACGACTGGTGAGTGAGTTAAGGACTATCCGCACAGCGGAATGCGATGGAGCCGAAGACAGCTTTCTGTTCCTGACCGGGAACAGTCCCCAAGGTGCATGGTGGAGTGACCCAAAGCCAAGTTCAGAACATAGTGTGTGTTGGCCATGACCTGTGTAGAAGGGGCAAACGTGAGTGGGTGAGTGTGTGAATGTGAGAAAGGGTGTGCAAGTGTGTGGCGGTGTGGATGTACATGAGGGCGAACTTGTCTGTGTGAGTGTGTTGCCCGGATGTGCATGTGTACATTTGTAAGGGTGCATGTGAGGGTGTGATGGTGAGTAGGTGTGAGCACACATGTCGTGAGTGTGTGCTGGGTGCGAAGGTGCACCTGTGGGGGGGAGGGTGTGGGTATGTGAGTGTGTGTATTTGTGAAAATGTGGTGTGTGCGTGCATGCGTCAGGCTAAGTGTGCGTGTGCGTGCGAACGTACGTGTGTGAGCATGTCTGTGAACTAGCGTGTACGTGCACTAAGTTGTTCTGGAAGGAGTTTCTAGAGACTGGTAGCAGTAGTTTCTTTCAGGGAGGGGAGCTGGGAGATGAGGGAGGGTGAGGAAAGGGAGGACTTTCCTCAATAATCTTTGGTGGCTCAGTCGTTAAGCGTCTGCCTTCGGCCCAGGTCATGATCCCAGGGTCCTGGGATCGAGTCCCGCATCGGGCTCCCCGCTCAGCAGGGAGTCTGCTTCTCCCTCTCCCGCTCCCCCTGCTGTGTTCCCTCTCTCGCTGTGTCTCTCTCTGTCAAATAAATAAATAAAATCTTTTAAAAAAATAATCTTTGGTGCAATATGAACTTTGTTTCCTCGGAACATAATACCTACTGAAGAAAATAAAAATTTAGAACCAAATACAAAATAAAAACTAGGGGGCCCTTTGTGGGAGACAAAGCTCCTCTGAGGGCTCCCCAAATACCAG